CAGCTGCAGTTGCCATGTAGCTCTAGCCAAGGTGCAGTGTTCATTTTAAATGCAAGACTTAGCCCTTCACCTGCTAGGCAGCAATTTGTTCCATTATCCAGACGTGCCTTGTCACACAAAACTGGATCAGGGGCTTGACTGGTCACCTGTAACAATTTGTTCATCATCAACATTCTTAGTTTAGGAAATATCAGTTCATGTGTCAGTTCAATCAGAAAGCCAATAGGATGTTATTGTTTATCGCCTCAGGAAGTGAATACAATAGTATAGAGGATATTCTTACACCTTAAGACCATTAGACATGTGAGCAGAAGTAGGCCATTTAGCCCATTGGGTCTGCTCTGCCATTCAACAAGATCATGGATGATCTGATCATCCTCAACGTCAATTACTTGCTTCTCTTACTGCTTATAAATCTACCTCAGCCCTGAATATACTTAATGACCCAACCTTGACGGCCCTCTGCAGTAAACAATTCGACAGATTCATTACCTTTTGAGAGTCACAGAGGTCCACAGCATGGAAACAGGCCCTTCAGCCCAACTTGCCCATACCACCCAGTTTTCACAATTTAAACTAGTCCCATTTGTCTGCGTTTGGTCCATATCCTTCCTTACCTACCCCAGAGAAGAAATTCCTATTCAGCTCTATTTTAAAGGTGTGACCCTTTATGCTGAGATTATGCCTTCTGGTCCTGGACTCTCCCACAACAAGAACAACGTTTTCGCATCTACCCCCTCTTATCCTCTAAAAATCTTGAATGGTTCATAAAGTCACCTGTCATTTGTCCAAACTCAAATGAGTACAAGCCCAGTGTATTCAACCTCTTCGAATAAGGTAGCCCCTCTAGGTGTCAGCTGAGTGAACCTTCTCTAGCCTACCGCCAATGCCGGTATATCCTTCCTCAGACTAGGGGCCCAAAACTGTTCACAGTATTCCAGCTGTGGTCTGACTAGGGTTTTGCATGGTTTTACCAAAACTTCCCTACTTTTATACTCCATTCCCTTTAAAATAAAGACTAAAATTCCATTTGCCTGCTGCTGAACTTGGATGCAAACATTTTGTGATTTGTGGACAAAGACCCTCAAATCTCTCTGTTCTGTAACTTTTGGCGATGTTCCTCCATTCTTCAGTTATACAAGGCGTTGGTGAGACCACATCTCAAATATTGTCGCAGAATTGGCCTCCTTACTCCAGGAAAGATCTAAATATGTTGTAAGTAGTGCGGAGAAGGTTCACTAATAGGTCGAATAGATGGGGTTACCATATGAAGAAAGGTTGTTTAAGCTAATCCTGTATCCGTTGGACCATTGAAGACTAACAGGTGACTTAATTGAAACTTAAAGTACTGACGAGTCTTAACTGAGATGACATGGAGAGATAGTAGGAACTGCAGATGCTGGAGAATCCGAGACAACAAGGTGCAGAGCTGGATGAACACAGCAGGCCAAGCAGCATCATAGGAGCAGGAAGGCTGA